CAAGCAAATTATTGAGATGTCACAGCTCAGGTGGGTCATATGCAGATGTAACCCCATTGAATCTGACTAAGATACTAGTTTGATTAAATGTATATAATATCTGTAAATAATATTATAAATACATATATTTATGTATATATATAATTAATAAATCCATTATTTCTAGTTTTCTATTTTTTTTTTATTTTAGATTCCATCCAAATTTGGATTTTTAGAAGGTGTTCGACAACATGGTTCCTTTTGTTTTTGAAAACAAAAACAATCATGTTTTCGAAACCCTCCAAATGATCAGATCTGATGTGTAGTTGGATCTAATCCAAATGCCAAATCTGACCCAATTGCAATCCTAATCAATATAATCGATGAAAACTCAACCATGAAGAGGCCATAACAACAGATTAAGCTTTTTTTTTTTTTTTTTTTGAGAATCTATGATAAAGACACGGTACTGGAAGAGTTTTAACAAATCAAAACACCCTGTGAATTTTGATGAATGCCATCGGATTGGTCAGTTTTTTTATGATAGCAGTTGACCGGTTGGAACTTTTTTTAATATCATAGCCTAATCCTTTTTTACAAGTAATAACAACAGATTTAAGCTCAATGGCCTAAAATGCGCCAGTGTGATAAATTCTTAGGCTGTGTTTGGCAAGAGTGTAAATGCAAATTTATACAATAAAAATTAAATAGAGGTTAAACGTATTGAGATTTTTTTTTTAAATGCGTTTGCATTCCGCAAAACACAGCCTTAGCGACAGATTAACTTTGTATGAATATCTCCTCATCAAAATATTAGAAGAATTTCTGCCTCCAAAATTATTTTTTATATACATATCAAACCTTATACTAATTCTTAATCTTACAAAGATTGAAATTTTGATTAAGGTTCTAAATACAGATACAGGCTGATTGGCCAGTTGGGGTGTATCGGCCTGTATTGAGCTGCACTTTTTATTTTTCTGTTTTTTTTTTTTCAAACTGATTCATGGGAGTTGGTTTGAGAACCATCTATTTCCTGAACCAAGTCAGATCTCGAAATACCTACTGTAAAGGTGTATCGGGGGATCACCAATACAATACGTAACAACCAAGTCAGATCTTGAACCTTTATTCCGGTGCATGTTTTTGGCCTCTCCCTTTGGTAGTGAGAATCTCATTCAAACCTACCAAAAAAGAATAAGCAACTTAAAACCCCCTAAAGCCTAGTTCTCTTTACTTGATACTAACTCTCCTTGAGAATCATGTATACTTCAATTCCTATCTAAATCAAATAGAGGGAGAAATCGGTGATTCTGATTTTAATTATGATATAACGTGATTTGGTTGCTTTCTGCTGGAGAATGATCTGGCTTTCAATCGGACGGTGAGTTAGGTAAATCTGAAAAATAAGATTAGAAAACCCGAGGTGGCTAGCCCGGCGAGGTCGTTCTGATGCTTAAGTTAGTAAGCTGTTGAGAGCTGAAGTTTTATTGTATTCCCATCTCGGCACACCAATTCTGAAACTTGATGTCCTCGAATTGCTTCCCGTTGTCGGAGATGAGTACCCGAGATAGCCCGAAGCGATATACTATGTTCCTCCAAAAGAAGATTTGTATGTTGCAGGTCATGGTCGTCGTTAGGTGTTCCGCTTCCACCCACTTCGTAAAATAGTCCACTGCTACGCCCAGAAACCTCATCTGTCCTATCGCAGGCGGGAATGGGCCAAATATGTCGATTCCCCACTATGCGAAGGGCCATGGGCTTGTGAGGTATTTGAGATCGGTAGTAGGTCGGTGGTGGATGTTGGCGTGCCTCTGACACTTGTCGCACTTCTTGATGAGCTTGAGTGCGTCTGCCTTCATCGTGGGCCAGTAATAACCTTGTCGTAGTGCCTTCTGGGCGAGAGCCCTGTCCCCCAAGTGTCTGTTGCACAATCCTTCGTGGGTGTCGCGGAGAACAAGCTCGGCCTCTGAGGGTTGCAAGCAACGCAAGTAGGGGAGCATGAAAGATCTCCTGTACAACTGTCCATCTATAATGACGTACTTAGCCGACAAGCGCTCTACCATTCGGGCTGCATTGCGTTCTGCAGGGAGGGTCCCGTGAAGCAGATAACTCATGAGCGGGTCAATCCAGCGTGGCTCTGCTTGTGCTACAGGAGCGACCTCTCCTGCCCCCCCGAGAATGCTAGGCCGAGGTAAATCCTCTATGTACACGGTCTGCATGGTGTTGTTGCTTGTGCTAGCTAACTGGGACAAGGCATCGGCCTCAGCGTTCTCGGATCTCGGGATTTGCCTGATGAAATAGGAGATGAAGCCGCGCAGTATCTCCCTGACTTTGGCTAAATAGGCTGCCATGGTGGGGTCGCGGGCTTCATATTCACTGTTGACTTGGTTGACCACGAGTTGGGAATCGCTGCATATGACAAGATGTTTGGCCTTCACTTCCTTTGCTAGAGTGAGCCCGATGACTAATGCTTCGTACTTTGCTTCGTTGTTCGATGCTGCAAACCCGAACCGGAGCATGTATTCCAGCTTCACCCCGCTTAGACCATACAGAATTATTCCTGCACTACTTCCTTGTTGGTTGGACGAGCCGTCAACGTGGAGGATCCAGGGCTCTCCACCGTGTGCTCGAGCTCGGCCAGATCGGGAGTTGTGGTACTAAACGTACATTCTGCCACGAAATCGCCCAAGGCTTGGGCTTTAATTGTCGTCCGAGGTTCATACCGGATGTCGTACTTGCTAAGTTCGATAGCCCACTTTGTCAATCTGCCTCAGAGGCTTGTTGGTGAGGACAACGACGGTGTGGGCTTGGAAGTACGGACGAAGCTTCCGAGCTGCTATGACTAGCGCATACGCCAGTTTTTCGATCTCCGGATACCTTGTTTTCAGCATCCTACAAAACCTTGCTAACATAGTAGATGGGTCGTTGGACCCGATCTACTTCTTTTATCAGTACCGAGTTAACCACCTCGTCACTCACAGAGAGGTACAACTTTAAAATATCCCCTTCCTCGGGTCGGGTCAGAACCGGGGTACTAGCTAAGTATCTTTTTAGCTCGTTGAAGGCGAGCTGACACTCCACGGTCCACTCGAAGTCTTTACTTTTCTTTATAGCCTTAAAGAAAGGTAGACAACGATCTGCCGACTTAGACATAAAACGACTTAGAGCAGCTATGCGGCCATTCAACCTCTGAACCTCTTTTATTTTGCGATGTGGTCTCATATCTAAGATGGCCTTTATCTTTTCCGGTTTGGTTTCGATGCCACGTTGGTTGACTATGTAGCCCAAGAATTTACCCGAGGTGACCTCGAAGACACACTTGTTGGGATTTAATTTCAAGTTGTACTTTCGTAAAATTTCAAAAACATTTTGCAAATCATTTAATAAAAATTTTGAAAATTGGGTCTTAACGACCATGTCATCTACATAACATTCAACTTTATTGCCGATTAACGGCTCAAAAATCCTGTTTACAAGTCTTTGAAAGGTTGCCCTGGCATTTTTAGTCCGAAGGGCATAACCTTATAGCAGTACAATCTGAGCTCAATTATAAAGGTCGTATTTTCTTCATCGACGGGGTCCATCCTGATCTGGTTGTAAGTTGTAACCAGAGTATGCATCCAGAAAGCTCAGCAACGCATGCCTTGAGGTCGCATCCACTAGGCGGTTGATCTTGGGCAGCGGGAAGTAGTCCTTTGGGCAGACTCTATTCAGATCGGTATAATCGACGCACATGCGCCATTTACCGTTGGCCTTTTTCACCAGAACTGGGTTAGCTACCCAGCTCGGGTAATGGATTTCTTTGATGAAGTCTGCTGCTAAGAGCTTCTCAACCTCTTCATCGACTATCCTCCAGTGTTCCGGGGTGAGGTTGCACTTTTTCTGTCTAATTGGCTTGACTAAAGGATCGATGTTTAACTTGTGAGTTAAAATTTTAGAGTTTATTCCGGGCATTTCTACTGCAGACCAAGCAAATACATCTAAATTCTGAAGTAAAAAACTTACCAGCTGAGAGCGAAGTGGCTCCTCGATGGAAGCGCCGATCTGGAGGGTCTTAGTTGGATCATCTGTCGAGAACGAGATATGAACCGTCTCCTCTGTCGGTGTAGCTCGCTCCTCAGCATACTCCGTAGGTCACTCGAGTTCGATGTCAGCCGCTAGTTTGGCTTTCCCCTTGAGGGCGGCTATGTAGCATTTGCGAGATTCAAGCTGATCTCCTCACGCAACCCCTACTCCATAGTCCGTAGGGAACTTCATTGCCAGGTAGTAGGTGGATACTATCGCATGTAGGGAGTGCATAATGGGCCGACCTACTATGGCATTGTAGGGAGATGGGGTTGCGACTACTAGAAACATGTGCTCGAACCTCGCTATGTTCGGCCACGTGCCGACCTCCACGGGTACTGAAACTCGCCCTAGGGGTCTGACTTCCTCGCCGCTGAAGCCTACNTGCATAATGGGCCGACCTACTATGGCATTGTAGGGAGATGGGGTTGCGACTACTAGAAACATGTGCTCGAACCTCGCTATGTTCGGCCACGTATCGACCTCCACAGGTACTGAAACTCACCCTAGGGGTATGACTTCCTCGCCGCTGAAGCCTACCACGGGGGTATCCGTCGGCTTTAGGTCGCTTTCCTGGAGCTGGAGCTTGTCGAAGACGTCCTTGAACAGTATGTCAGCTGAGCTACCTAAGTCCACTAGGACGCGCTTGACTTCGAAGTCGTTGAGCCTTAGCTTTATCAACAGAGCGTCGTCATGTGGATACTGGATCCCTCGCGCATCATCCTTCGTGAAATAGATCGGCTCTTCAATTCTAGGTCGCTTTGGTGGGTTCTGCTCTTCGCTTTCTAATTCATAGACTGAAGTTCATCCTGCTGCCGAAGTGCACCCTACGATGATGGACCCGCCAGTAATCATATTGATGACTCCGCGGATCGGCCTTTCCTCGGGCATCTGCCATGGCGGCTGCTCATTCTGTCTACTGCTGGACTCGGGGCATTCTTTCTCTGGTCCCCCTATCGGTCTGGTTGGCAGTCTGCTTGGCTTCTTCCTTCTCGTTGTATGAAGTTCTTCAAATATCCGTGGCGGATGAGCTCCTCTATCTCGTCGCGGAGGTTTCTACAGTTCTCTGTACTGTGTCCATGGTCTCTGTGAAAGTGATAGTAGACGTTTCGGTTTCTGGTTGCAAGATCTCCCCTCAACTTAGGTGGCCACTTGACAAAAAAGGAGTCTTTGATGGCCAACAGGATTTCACCTCGTTTAGCGTTGAGGGGTGTGTAGCTCGTCCTTTCAACAGGTGGGGTTCTGGAGCGTTGACCTGACTTGTGAGATCGCAAAGGAGATCGACTTCTAGACTTGTTTCTTCCCCTGCTCGGAGACTTGCTCTTTCTTCTCTTATGACTGTCGTTACCGGTATTGTCACCATCTCTTTTTCTCTTCTCAGCTAGATTGTCGGTCTTCGGGTTCATCTCTTCCTCGGTTCCAATTAACTGGTCGGTGAGCTTGAGGAATGCCGTGATATTTTTTGGCTTGTTGGCCACCACATGCCATTTGAATTCCCTGTGAGTTATGCCCTTTTTTGCTGCCGTGAGTCTCACCGTTGGATCTAAGTTGGGTATCTGTAGGCATGTGTCATTGAAACGTTTGATGTAGCTTCTGATGGACTCCCCTTCTCTTTGAACTACATTAAGGAGACTCTCTTGGAACCTCGAACACTTCTTGCTGGTGATGAAGTGCGAGGTGAATAACTCCATGAACTGTGCCCAACTCTTGATCGATCCTGGTGTGAGGTTCCGATACCATGTGCGAACTACTCCTTTGAATGTGGTGGAGAAAGCCACGCACATGCAGGACTCGTCAACCCCAACTAGGTGCATCTGGGACTGAAAGGAGTCCACGTGGTCATTGGGATCAAAAGATCCGTCATACTTATCGAGGGGAGGCATCTTGAAGTCCTTGGACATGGGGTCGCCAAGAGCTCGGGAGACAAAGGGGACGACCCGAAGAGTAGGGGAGCGGTCTTTGTAGCTATCGAGCTCGCCTCTTCTTTACCTTTAACCTGTTCCTGTTGGTTTGGCCTCGCGAGCTGGCTGTTATGAACTGAAGTTCGGCGTGCCTTGCGACACCTTCGTTGTTGCTTCTTCATCGGCTCTGCATTGGTGCTGCTAACCTCTGTATGATCCGGTATTGCTCTACTGCGAGGTAGCTCTTTGTTCCTTGGGTTTTGAGGCTGACTGTCGCGGATAGAAGGGCCTTGCCTTGAGTTCGCTGCCAAAACCCCAAACCGGTTACCTGCGAGTGATCCACCTTCTTGATGCGAACGCCGAGAAAGAATAGCTCTATTGGGCTGAGTGTCCCCGGACCTGTTTTCGATGTTGCCTTGCGAAGCAGGCGGGGTGATCTGTCCGTCTCTCCTGTCACAAGGTAAGACTTGCCTCCCGAGAGGAAGTGGGACCAGGGAAGTTTCCTCGCCTTAGTGGGGAGATCGAGTGATGTTTTTTGCACACGAGGTCGGTTCTATTGAATTGCTGGGTGCTGAGGTGGAATCGACTACTGGCTTTGCGGTAGTGGAGGGAACTGTTGCTGGTAGTATTGGTAAAACACATGTTGGTAGTATTACTGAAACTGTTGGACCTGTTGCATTTGGATCTGAATGGCTCGCACGCAGCATACTAGGTCATCGAATTGGGATCGCCCGACTCTAGGGGGAACCACAGACGGTTCAGCGGAGGTTGCGCCCACCACTGGAGGGAGCGGGGCGTTCACCTGTGTAGCGTTTTTGTGGCGCAGTCAGTGTTTGGACCCCAGCCGCAGTAAGCGGTATGGTGAACTGACCAATGCACACTGATGGGAACTGAGGTTGCCCCCCTAGAGACGTTCATTTCACTGCTCCTTCCGGCGTGACTAGAAGAGGCCATTGATTTCAGATGAAGACTATTGATTGTGAAGAAGGCTTTTTGATCGTCTTCCCACAGACGACGCCAATTGATGTAGCGCGATCTAGCTGCTCCCTGCTGGAGGATGGTCTAGCTTCTAGTTGGACGGCGAGCTAGGTAAATCTGCAAAATAAGATCAGAGAACTCGGGGTGGCTAGCCCGGCGAGGTCGCTCCGATGCTTAAGTTAGTAAGCTGTTGCGAGCTGAATAGCTTTGAGAATGTAGAGAGTTAGAGAGTAGAGAAATCACGCGTACCTCATGTCATCGGGGTTGGAGCCTTTATATAGTTGAGTATTCGTGGGGCACATGAAAGAGTTCCGGGGTATCCGCGATGTGGAGATGGAGTTCGCTCCACTTCCGAAGGAACAACATACAGGTAAGGCTTATCTTGTTCCTCCTCCGATTTCCGGCGGAGTGAGGATAAGTGCTTATCGTGATCCCGGAAAAGTCGGGGTCTGGCAACTCATCGTGATCTCGAAGGACTCGGAATTCGTTGGAGAGACCTCCGGAATGGGTTACACAGTAGTTACCTGGCGCTTCGAGTTGCTGGTTCCGAACTGGTACTTCGGTCTTTTAGTTCCGAACTGGCTTGAATACCGAGACGCCTCGATGTCGGGGTGAGACTTGCACCGAGGTGACCCTACTCCGAGGTGGGCCTTAAGCCGAGGTGACTGAATACGCTAGCTCTACCGCTGCGATCTGAACTTGTCATGCTAAGTTGTCATTTCTTAATCAGGTCGTGTCCACGTGTTCTCTTTTTACTAGGTCGGGCCAAATCACCCCTCATCAAATCAAATAGAGGGAGAAATCGATGATTCTGATTTTAATTCCAAAAAATTTCGATTCCAATTCTGACCTCAAATCAAATAGACCCTTAATTTTGCCTCTAAAAACATACACAAAATGCTGTTTTATCATATCAATGTGTTTTATTTTGTTTTCTCGATTTTTTTTTCGACTTTTCGTCACACCTTATTGTAGGGGACATATTGGTATTTGATTAAAACCCAAAGAGGCAAGAGAGGAGACACCTTGTAATCACTTTAGAGTTTGATTCCATGTTGATACCTTGTTAAGACATGTTTATTGTCTACGTGTATTGGCACATAGATTAAAACTTAGAAGGCTATTTTGTAAATAAAAACCAGCATCACGGGCCTTGTTAGATGCCAAATCACAAGTTCACAACAGAACAAAATATAACCTCTGGGATTCGGTACAAAAGCAGGTGGTTACGGCGTGCTAAATATTGTCCTTCTGTGGTTCAAGTTTTGTTTTTAATTAATTTCTTATGTTTTCTTTATTTAAGTTGATACCACCAAAAGAGAGATTCTTTTGCAGCTTCTTCCTTCGTATCGTAGGAATTCACGTCTCCGCCGCACAGCACATCCCTGCTGTGTATTGATAGCATCTCTAAATAATCTTAATGATCGGGAGATATTTTCAATACATGGCGGGAATGTACTGTGAAGCGTTGTAGGAAGGAGATGTGATCTCGTATCTTAGGCGCCATTTAACATCTCATGAATTGGATGAAATAAATATCAATGCCTTTTTTATTTTTTTAGACCGGAAAGGCCAAATCCATTCTTAATAATGATCTACATTCTTAATAATATTTTTTGTCATCATATTTAATGGAATCAGCTACCTACCCGCTGGAGGCTGGACGCTGGTAAAATAATTAGATGCTTTATGGGGGTGGACTGAACTGTACAAATTCTTAATGTCAATCCGACCAGTGATGGTGTAGAGATATTAGCCAATCCGACCAGTGGAATATTCTAGATTTCTAGGCACTAAAAGCAAGCTTTTACACCCGCGGGCTCTCATTCGCTAAAAGTCAAATTCTTAATGTCTTTTCTAGCACGACGTTTTCTTTGACAAGTAGATGCTCATATCACCCCTCCGAATCTCGTTGGTCACCGCGATAAGCGCTGCTTTTTATAAAACAAGAGAACTTGTTACTTGTATCCAGATTCCGGATAAATGTTTATTAATTTGCTACACCCATCCTATTATAAACCTAATAGTTCTAGTTCATTTCAGGTAATCGAAGCCATATAAACAGAATACTGGACCCATGCATCCGACCGAATTTTTGGGACATGAAAATCCAACGCTTCGGATTAGATTATAATATTTATAGAACCAGGGACTACATAACAGCGAATTCCACGTGAATTCTATTCATTTCCCTCTTGAATCTTGATCTCTTCTTCCCGTGGAGCTTGTTAGCTTAAAAATAATTCAAACCAGATGTCTTGATCTCTTTATTAATTGTCTTACAGTTATTCTCTATCCGGTTCAGAGTACTTGTTCCTTTGCGATTTTTCTTGTTTCTTTTTAGGGTTTGCGGAGGTTTATTTAAGAGAATTAAGGGCGGAGTGGTGAGATACAGGAGCAAAGCAGGCGAGGGAGAGTAGGGGGTGGTGGAAGGGTTTTGGTGGACTGAAACTTGCTGTATGTCAGTAGATTGCAGCGAGGGTTACTACGGCGGGGTCGGTGAGCTTGTAAATCCACTACAATGGCCACAACTGAGGAAAAGGCGACGACTATGGCTGCAGCTTCAGCAGTAGCCAATGTTGTTCAGGATTGGACTGTGGTAAACGCAGTTGATCGAAGTAGCGATCAGCATCACAAAAGAGCTACTATATCGACATTGATTGGGCCAGTTGATTCAATGCCTGAGCCTTCTGCTAATGTTTCTACCAAAGGTATGATATGCTTTTCCTCCATTTGTCTCCCTCTTCTTTTCATATCCATTTTTCCTTGTCTTCAAGTTTATCCATCTTGATCCCGTGATTCTTTTCCTAGTTGCGTTGCGTGAGAATATTCTGTTGTCATATTTTGCAGCTTAATTCATCTTATGGATTTAATCAAGCCGATTGGTATGAAATTTGAAAATAAAACTATGCATGCTGAAGTTTTATCCCAAACTATATTTTCTTCTTTGTCGTCGAATGGTACCTTGAGCACATTTGTTGTAATGCAAACTTTCATCCGAATGATCGTTAAAGATCCGATTGTTAAATGAAGTACCGGCGATGAAGTCTTAACTTTTGTTTTAGATCTGTTGGACGTATGCTATTCAATTCTAGCTCCTATTGCAACAATACGGAATCTCTAGATACTATTTTCCAACTGTATCTCTCATGAGAAACCCATTACTGTCAATCTTGCTTTTATTTTGAAGTGCAAGATGGTTAAATGGCATATGCTTTTCATTTTGAAAGATAATATAATTCAAGGAACATCCCAGGATTGCAGACCACGATGCTGTAGATATCTCAATTTAAATTTGAGGTTCTGGATGCAAATTGAGGGACTAAATGAATGTTAGAATTTGAAAAGATGTAACAGACCCTTCATTACTCAATATTACTTTGTTATTATGGTTCCAACGTTTCGCGAAATTTTGCAAATTCCAGAATCTTTCCTAAAAACTAGAATTTTATTATATGTTTCATCCAGAATTTCATAGTTTTTTATTAGGTCTATAAAAATAAATAACATAACTACAGGAAATATTATAAAATTTTAAAAATATTAATAAAATAAAAAATATTGTCAAAAATTCACCCTTTTTTTTTATTTCATTTCAGATTTTGGGTAGACAATCGACCACTTTCCAAAATTGAAGACCATGAGTTTTAAGTCCATGATTGTATAATACTGTTTGTGTTCCATGTGCTTCTGATTGGAATAATGGGTAATTGACATCCAAAACACTCTGCTGGATAGGGCATGAAGATGATGCATAATTTGTTTTTGTGGATTCAGTAAGGCATTACGTTCTTGTTTGTTGTTTTTCAGTTTACATGGTGCTACCTACCTTTTTCTGTCTTACTTTGGTAGGACATGATTCTTCTTGACATCCAAACACTCTGCTGAACAGGGCATGCAAACAATTCTTAATTTGTTTTTGTGGATTCAGTAAGGCATTATGTTCTTGTCTGTTGTTTTTAGGTTTACATTGTGCTACCTTCCTTTTGTTGTCTTACCTTAGTCATACATGATTCATCTTATTTTTTTCCCTATAAGGTTCTTGCTTTTGGCTTTAATACATTTGAGTTGCATTATAGACGATACCAATGCTAGAAGATGCCTTTACCCATTAAAGTGCATGCCAATTTTCTAGAGTTACTTTCATCTTATCTTTATGAATGATGAGTTCATATCCTAAGTAGCATATTGAGGTGATTACATCATTTAGTTCCAGTATTTATAGAAGTCTGACCTTTCATTAAGTAACAGAGACCAAAGCATAGGAAGATGCTTGATTTTTTAAATGACATACAAAATGAATATTTATAGAAGTCTGACCTATTAATATTTTGCGGTTGTTTCTTTTTCTTTCTTTTCTTTTTTTTTTTGTAAATAGTGAATTGATTCATGCATATTCTATTGCTTCTTAAAAAAGCAATATGCATTCAGAAGTTATGGAGGACCTTGCCATGATAAATCATTTTATAGAGTAAGTGGTATTAAGATGAAAATTTTCTGATGGATCTTTATGGAAAGTTTGATGCATAATCATGTTTCTTTTGGATGCTTTCCATGTGCAAGTGGTCTCTCTTTTCCTTTGTCTCTAATTTCACAGAGCTTGAGAATGCATGTCTTTTGCTTAGTTGAGTAATTTGTTATTGCTGTTGTTATTATTATCCACATTTTTCACAGGTATCCAGGTCATGATGAGGGCTCAGACTAGCCACCCTTTGGACCCCCTATCGGCTGCTGAAATCTCAGTGGCAGTGGCAACTGTCAGGGCTGCTGGCGCCACCCCTGAGGTTATCTTTTAGTTCTTACATCTTACTTATCTTTTGAGATATGTTTGAATAATAATATAGCATGAAACCAATGCTAGGAATTGATTTGGAAACTCATTCTTGAAGTTATGGTGACATTTTATTTTTTTTCTTCATTTCAAGGTGAGAGACAGCATGCGCTTTATTGAAGTGGTTTTATTGGAACCAGATAAAAATGTTGTTGCCTTAGCAGATGCATATTTCTTCCCCCCATTCCAGCCATCATTACTCCCCAAAAGCAAAGGCGGACCTGTCATTCCTAGTAAACTTCCTCCAAGGCGGGCTAGACTAGTTGTATACAACAAAAGATCAAATGAGACAAGTATCTGGGTGGTTGAGCTATCAGAAGTACATGCAGCAACTCGAGGTGGACATCATAGGGGAAAAGTCATTTCATCAAAAGTTGTTCCAGATGTTCAGCCTCCCATGGTATGTATCACTTTTTCTGACATTTTGTTGAACCCACTGAATGCTTCTTAAGGAACTTTACCCATATACATTTAAACTCATGAAGATCAAATCTGGTTTTATGATGGGCTAAATTTTAGTTTTTCCATACATGATTGATTTAGTTGAAGTTTGTACTAGAGCATGGCCCACCAATTTACAACTGGCTATATCTATATGCATGTCAAGTAAAACCTATTTTGTTTTAACAGTATCTTATCTTTTGATCCTTTTTCATAGAAGCTTTAAACAATATGTTTCTTATTTTTGTTTTTCTTAACATATATCCAGTTTCTTGTTAATTGTATGTATGTATGTATGTATATACTTAAAATCTCAATGTTCATTTTCCATCATTTTTCAACTGCAGGATGCTGTGGAGTATGCTGAATGTGAAGCTGTTGTTAAAGAGTATCCTCCATTTCGGGAGGCGATGAAGAAGAGGGGTATTGAAGACATGGATCTGGTGATGGTAGATGCCTGGTTAGTCAATTGTGCACCTTATACTCTTTCTTTGTGATATACCGTGAGTAGTGGTGCAAGTGGTAGGGCCTAAGTGACCACTTGTTGAATTTTGACTGGGCCTTAGTTCTGTCTCACCAATTGAAATTGAAGCCCAAACTATCATACACCCCTAATTTGTTATTGTATGGTGCTAGCTTATGTTTTACCCTTTTATTTAAGCTTTGACCCATAAACTTTTCTGCAGGTGTGTTGGTTATCATAGTGAAGCTGATGCTCCTAGCCGCAGGCTTGCCAAACCACTCATCTTTTGTAGAACTGAGAGTGACTGCCCGATGGAAAATGGCTATGCTCGTCCAGTTGAAGGTATCTATGTAGTTGTTGACATGCAAAACATGGTGGTAATTGAGTTTGAAGACCGTAAACTTGTTCCCTTACCTCCAGCTGATCCATTGAGAAATTATACTCCCGGAGAAACACGAGGAGGTGTTGACCGGAGTGATGTGAAACCCCTACATATTATTCAGCCTGAAGGTCCGAGCTTTCGTGTTAATGGGCATTTTGTAGAATGGCAGAAGGTACACCCTAGGTGGTCCATATTTGTTATTATTAGCTTTAGCTAGTAGGCTTAAGGTTTCAATTTGAAATGTATCTTTATTTCTTTGTTGGTTGGCAGTGGAATTTTCGCATTGGTTTCACTCCCAGGGAGGGTCTAGTTATCTACTCTGTTGCATATATTGATGGCAGTCGAGGTCGGAGGTCTGTAGCCCATAGGTTGAGCTTTGTTGAGATGGTGGTTCCTTATGGAGATCCAAATGAACCACATTATAGGAAGAATGCATTTGATGCTGGAGAAGATGGCCTTGGTAAAAATGCACATTCTCTTAAGAAGGTGAAATTACTTCTTTCATGCTTTTGCCAATTTATTGGAATATTGACATTCACTTCCTTTGTTTTTCCAAGTTATTCTTGTCAGAAGTAATTTATTTATTTTCTATGTTTCCCCTTTGCATCAGGGATGTGATTGTTTGGGTTATATCAAATACTTTGATGCCCACTTTACAAATTTTACTGGAGGTGTTGAAACAATTGAAAATTGTGTTTGTTTGCACGAAGAGGATCATGGAATCCTATGGAAGCATCAAGACTGGAGAACGGGCTTAGCAGAAGTTCGGCGGTCTAGGCGGTTAACAGTGTCCTTTATATGTACTGTTGCAAATTATGAGTATGGATTCTTCTGGCACTTTTATCAGGCAAGTTGAGGTTTTACTTTGTTTTTAGTTGATTATTTAGATTATTTTGTTGATTATTTTCTGCTATTTGTTTATTAACAAAACATTTTGCTATCCTGTGAATGGAAGTAACTAAGATCTAACCCATTTGTGATTTTGTTTTGTGCTAGAATTTCCTATTTTCTAGCTGATTTTTTCTTGTTAAATGTGTATGAGATCTAGGATTTGAGGTTATAGCTTGAAAATTTTACTTATCGCTATTACCTCACATTCATCAGTTTCATCTCTGTTTTACTAGTTACCATTACCTCAACCCATTTATTCTCTGGAAAATTTCCGGTGTATCTGCATACCCTTGTATCACATATTTTTACAACTTCGCATTGACATGAGGCCTAAGTTGCTAGTTGAAAAGGAATGTTAGGTTCTCTGTGAATATAATGAATTTTGTCATAGTTTTCTTTTCATTTGAACTTTATTTTTCCTTATATTCTTTTTTGGCTTTTTGTGCCATACATTTGTTCAACCCTATGTTCAACTAAATATATAAAGTTATGGTTATTTGTTGGTTGGATCCCTAAATTATTCTAAAACCTTTCAAATTTTTTATGCTTATGCAATTTCCCCCCTTGTTTGGTAACAGGATGGAAAAATTGAAGCTGAGGTTAAGCTTACAGGAATTCTTAGCCTAGGAGCATTACAGCCAGGAGAGTTCAGAAAATATGGAACAACAATTGCACCAGGATTATATGCACCAGTTCATCAACACTTTTTTGTTGCCCGTATGGATATGGCTGTTGATTGTAAGCCTGGTGAACCATTCAATCAGGTATACAGTATACACTCATGAAATGTGGTTTTCATTTTCCTATATTTTGATCATTTTCTGGAGAATGCTATTCTATATAGGTGATGTCTAATTGGTTATTGATTTAAAACAATGATACATGGACTTCCCTGTAGAATGCTATTCTATCTTTTGATCATTTTTTTTGGTTGGTTGTGCTGTTATTTATATTTACCTTATCTGTTGGAAGTTCTTGTTAATGAATATCAATTTTGGCTCGATATGAAGATGTTGATCTTGGGTTGACTAGCATAAGAACATGGGTTTGAGTCTAAGAGTTGCCACTTTGTGCCAAAATAAATAAATAAGATAAAATAAAACCAAAGTTCATATCCAGTCTATCCCTCCCAAGGCGCTGGATAACTGGGACCGTCATTGGGTAATGGTCCTTTTATGTAAGCGATTTAACATGCTATTTACTTTCAATGTCAAAATTTAAATCCCAAGGAAAGAAATAGAATATGAAACTATCAAATGAGATGGGCAAATCACTCCTTAAGAAATTAAGATACAACTAATTGCTTTGAGTCTTTTTTTTTTACTAAATTAAATTAACTTATTAAGCTGATTACTGGTTAAAGAGAACTATACTGTAAACTAAGGTGAAACAAACGATTGGAACATTTTATCTTTCTTAACTATTTTGGGTAGTAGTGGCATGCTCATTAGAGATGGGCTGTTGAAGATTATCACATTGTATTGAATTTGATAGATAGGGCGTACCAATGTTGGAACCAACCCAAAGTATGTTGCCTCAATATGCTACACACTACTTGCTTCATGATATTAGACATGTTTATTGTGACAAACATGTTTATTGCTGCTCATTCACATAGCTCATCGATCAATTTAGTAGTTATCAGGTGAATTGTTGCTATTGTATGTTTAAAGGTGCCTGTATGCATCTGCATTTATGAGTTGTTATTTTTGTTGGCTCTGTAGTTAATAGATATAAAAGTATTGTTTTTTCAAGGCAATATTTCGACGTGTAAACTCTTGTTTGTGCAGGTTGTTGAGTTGAATGTTAAGGTTGAAGAACCAGGAAAAGATAATGTTCACAATAATGCATTCTATGCTGAAGAGGAACTACTTAGATCTGAATTGCAAGCAATGCGTGATTGTAATCCTTTATCTGCTCGCCATTGGATTGTAAGGAATCCTTACCCTGTTTATTGAAGTTGCTCTTTTTCATTTACTTTGTCAGAAATCTGTATGACCTTTTCTTTATTTTCTTTTCCCCCTCTATTTTGAAACATTTTATCATCAGTTATTATTCCTAACATTTTATACTGTAACTGTCTAACACTGATTAAATTATTATCTCTTTTCTGTTTTTTTTTTATTTTTTTTTATTTTATTCTTTTCCTGACTGCTCCAAATTAGCCTATTTGTTTCTACTTGTCTATGCTAATGATTCTTTAGTTGGATTTGTGATGCCCTTTTCCTTTTTCCTCTAGGCATTTATGGGTTATGGTAGGGGAGTTTGTCTCTCTGTCCGTGTCTGTGTGTGTATGCAATCAGGATGTGATATGTATTAAATCGACTGTTGTCATGTGCCATTCATGTTTCAGGTGAGGAACACAAGAAGCGTTAACCGAACTGGCCAGCTAACAGGCTATAAACTAGTACCGGGTTCAAATTGTTTACCTTTAGCTGGTTCTGAGGCAAAAGTTTTGAGAAGGGCTTCTTTCTTGAAGCATAATCTCTGGGTTACACCGTATTCACGTGATGAGATGTATCCTGGTGGAGAATTTCCTAATCAAAATCCACGTGTTGGTGAGGGATTGGCTACATGGGTTAAGCAGGATCGACCTCTTGAAGAAACTGATATAGTTCTCTGGTTGGTTTCACCTACCTTTTTGTTAATGATATTATGATAATTGTGTGGTCCTATTGGACACATTAAGCAACTTCCTAATACTCTTCCTGGTATAATATTGGATACTGAACAGAAATTATTTTCGTTTTAAATAAAAAAGTAACTTCTTACTTAGAATTTAGTGAAAAGAGAGCATAGTTAAAAAACATAATTTTTTTGATAGAAAATAGTAAAAAGGATTTCATTAGAATGGTAAAGAAGAATCCTACTATCCACATCCATGTATCATATGGTGGGAAAATCTATGATGTTGGAAAGACACAATACCGGAAAGTTTTTGACCAATCAAAACCCCCTGTGAATTTTGATGAAAACTCACCTGTTTGGTTGCCACTTTTATGATGCCTGCTGATTTGGTTACAAGTTTTTCTGGTATCTTGTCTTTTCTGCATCATAGTCAAACCCATCATAAGGATGCAAAGAAAACAACATATTGCTGATAGCCTGATACCACTATTTTCTTACAAAATTATTTGTTACAAATCTCCTCCCAATACCCAGATTACCCCAAATAATATTATCCCTTCTGACACCTGCTCCTTGTTAGTGAATCTGCCAAGCGATTTGCAGCTCTGGGGACCCACTTGAATGGGCAATTGAGGTTCATAGCAAGAACTCTTGCATCTCTAACTGGGAATCTTAATACCCATGGTACTTCTTGTTCTGTTGCAATCCGGACTATTTTGCAGTCACATGCGACCTGTACATTTGTCCATCCAACAATCATACCAATTTTAGCTCTTGTAGAACAGCCAGAAGTTCTACCCTTGAGAAATTTCCCACTTCAACTGGCCCTGAGAAGCTAAGAATAAGGTTTCCCCTATCATCCACCCCTCCAACATCTGAAGCACTTAGGTTATCTTGCTCCACAGCCATCCATTCCTCGAATCCCTGCTCTCTGAGTACCCTGCAACTACTTGCCAGGCTGTCAGCTCGCATCAACTTGTCCATAGTGATTCCCTTGAAGTATTCAGAAGTTGACACACAATGACTACTCTCACTGTGATGAACTCTATATTTGTTGTTGATGCTACAGTTTACATATACCATACAAGATGATGATCTGTATTGATTTGGTTGTTGAAAAATTATTGTTTGACTATCTAATCTGTTTGCCACAAGGAAGCAAAGAAATTTGCTAAAAATACAAAAAATAATAAATAAATCTATTTTTTATATTTTTCAGACATTTCCGATCTCTTAGCCAGAAGACATATAAAAGATGAATGTCTTGCCAAGTCAACTCAGACTTGACTGTACATTGAGTTTCCTGGTTTGGGCCTCAGGTAATGATCTAGGAGTTTAACCTTTTTGTCTACTGTGAATCTTTTTGTCTATGTGGTTGTCCAAAAAAATTATTAAGGGGAATGGAAAACCATAAGAAATGGGAAGTAGGTTTTTTTTCCAGATAATTACATATATGGAAATTTCTATCATTAAAAATAAAAGAATGTAGATGAGATCTCTCTGGTATAGTTCTTGTTGTCCAAAAGAGAAGAAGGAAGAAAGGAAGAGAGAAGAGAGTAGAGAGAAGAAAGAAAAGAGATTTCGAGTCTCAAAGAGATGTTGGCGGCGCCAGCTTTTTATTATTTATACTAGGGTGACACAACTTAAAATAAAAGATGTTGAAAGTACTAAAGTACCCCTGCGGTACTAAACTTACAGAATAATAACCTTTCAACACTCCCCCTCAAATTGGGACATGGATATCAATCATGCCCAACTTGTCACATAAATCATAATGTCGCAAATGATGTAACCCTTTTGTGAAGATATCTGCAAGTTGGTCTTCAAAACTTACATAGGGAGTTCACACTTCCCTTGTGACAATCTTTTCTCTGATGAAATGTTTGTTAACTTCGATATGCTTAGTTCTATCATGCAGCATAGGATTAGCAACGATGTTTATGGCTGCTTTGTTATCACAGTAAAGAGTCATAGGTCTATCAATTGGAAAGCTCAACTCACTCAACAAATTTTTTAGCCACATAATTTCAGCCACTCCATGAGACATTGCTCGATATTCAGCTTTTGCACTAGACCTAGGTACCACATTCTGCTTTTTGCTTCTCCAGGTAACTAGGTTCCCTCATATAAAGGTACAATAGCTACTGGTTGACTTCTTGTCATTCAAGGATCTTGCCCAATCTACATCGGTATACACTTCAACTTTCAAATGCCCATGCTTTTGAAACAACAAGCCTACACTTGGGAACGTCTTAAGATATCTGAGAACTCTTTCTACTACTTCAAGGTGGGTAGTCTTAGGGGCATGCATGAACTGGCTAAGAACACCCACTGCATAAGCAATGTCTGGTTGGGTCATAGAAAGATATAGCAGTCTTCCTACAAGTCTCTAAAACTGTTTCACATCCTCGATGGGTTCACCTTGGCAGTCTCCTAATTTGTGATTAGGATCAATAGGGGAACCAACAAGCTTCACTCCCAATTTTGCTGTATCCTGGAGTAGATCTAGGACATACTTTCTTTGGGAAATGAAGATACCCTTTTTGTGAGCGGGCCCCTTCAATCCCAAGGAAGTACCTTAGAGGACCTAGATCCTTCACTTCAAACTAGGTAGCAAGGAAATTCTTCAACTTTTGAATTTCACATTCCAATCACCAGTAATAACTATATCATCAACATATACTATCAGTGCTGCAATCTTTCCTTCCCCTCTTTTTACAAATAGTGTGTGATCATATTGACACTGCTTGTATCCTCTTTGCTGAACTACTACATGGAACCTACTAAACCAGGCTCTCGGTGATTGTTTCAGGCCATATAATGATTTTTTTAACCTGCACACTTTCTGTTCATTACCTTGAGCCCGGAAACCAGGGGGTTGTACCATGTATACTTCTTCTTCAAGGTCACCATTTAAGAATGCATTCTTGATGTCAAGTTGATGAAGGTCCCAGTCAAGATTAGCAGCTAAGGAGAAAAGAACTCTAATGGAGTTCATCTTAGCAATGGGTGCAAAAGTTTCTGCATAATTCACTCCATACACTTGTGTAAACCCCTTTCCCACTAAACGAGCTTTATACCACTCCACTATGCCATCAACCCTATGTTTTACTGTGAAAACCCATTTACACCCGACTGGTTCCTTCCCCTCAGGAAGATCTACAAGTTCCCATGTGCCATTTTTATGTAAAGCATTAATCTTTTCCTTCATAGCATCTGCCCATTCAGGTATCAAAAGAGCTTCTGCCACATTCTTAGGAATAGGAACATTGTCAATGGAAGAGATAAAGGCCCGAAAGGAAGGTGAAATGTTCTCATAGGAAACAAAGTGGGACATGGGGTGTTAGTGGTGCACGACCTAACACCTTTCTGGTGAGCAATAGGAAGGTCAAGGTCATCAGCAATAGAGGTATCAATGGCAATAGGGTCAGGAACATCAATGGGAATCAAGGTACCTAGTTGGGAAGGATCCACCCCCTGAGAGTTTGATGGCATTGGTGGTACAACTTCTGGATGCTCCACAACTCTTGAACTTGGCTGGCCTTTGTGACGTTGAAAGAAAACACGAAAGGGAGGAGGATCAGGAGGAGGAGGTAGTTGAACCAATTTCTCCTCATTCCTACACTCCCCCTGAGGAGACATTGGGAAGAAAGGCTTACTCTTAAAGAAAGAGACATCCATAGGAACATAATATCTCCGAGAGACGGGATCAAAGCATCGGTACCCCTTTTGAGTGAGGGAGTACCCCAAGAAGATGCAAGGAATAGCACGAGGATCCAATTTTCCATGGGTGGGCACCAGATTTTGAACAAAGCAACAACAACCAAACACACAAGGAGGAATAGAAAGAAGAGGAGCCTTAGGAAAAAGAAGCTGATGTGGGGCTTTGCACTCAAACCAGCGAGAGGGCATACGATTAATGAGATAGGTAGCACAAAGGACAACCTCAAGCCAAAAACGTTTCGGGACATTCATATGAATGAGTAAACCCCTGGCCACTTCAAGAAGGTGTCGGTTCTTTCTTTTAGCAACACCATTTTGTTGTGGTGTTTGGGCACATGAGCTACGGTGAAGTGATCCATGCGAAGCAAAGAATTTCGTGAGATCATTATGAAAATATTCATTGGCATTATCGGATTGGAAAATTTAGATCTCAGTTTGAAATTGGGTGAAGATCATTCGGTGGAAATCTTGGATAATTTTTGGTACTTCATCCCTAGTTTGCATGGGATATATCCCTGTGTATCCGGAGTGATCATTAATAGAGGTAATAAAATATTTGTAGCCACTCTCGGACGGTAAAGTAACAAGGCTCCAAATGTCAGAATGAATAATATGGAAAGGAAATTCAGATTTATTATTCTTTGAAGAAAAATGAGTTCTACAATGCTTACTCAACTGACAAGTTTGACATGTAAAATGTGACACTAACACTGACTTAAATAACTCTGGAAATACCAATTTTAAAGATTCAACAGACAAATGACCGAGACAACTGTGCCACAAATAGATCTGACTCGTACTAGACTTACTCTTAGACTCTGTGACTGTAAGACCAGCCTTATTCTCCAGCATGTAGAGTCCATCCACCATACGTCCTCTACCAATTGTCTTCCTTGAGGCCAAATCCTAGAGTACACAATAAGAAGGGAAAAAGGTTACTAAGCAGTTTAAAGAATTAGTGATACTACTAACAGAGAACAAATTAATAGGGAATTTTGGAACATGTAAGACATTAGTCAGGGTGAGGCCAAAGGGAAGAGAAATGGTTCCTTGACCAGCTATGGTAGAACATGAACCATCTGCTAGTCTTACCTTGTCTCTTCCAAAGAGGAGGTGGTAGGTCTGGAAATAAGTGGACTTACCAGTCATATGTTTTGATGCTCCAGAATCAATTATCCAAGGAGAGTCAGGGGAATGAGACGATACATGGAAAGCTGTGGTACAACTACCTGATGTAGACGCAAATGAAGTTGGAGGAGGAGAAGAATCCATATGACGAATTGCTCTACCATAGAGTTCTAAATAGTCGCGGAAGGAATTAATAATATCCCCCCTCGGGTTAGAACTAGAAGTGTGTCTGAGTCATAGTAGTAGTGGGGGGCTGATTCTCTTGAGAAGCCATATTTGTTGTGGTGAACTTTCTTGGACCTTGCTGACCTGACTTCTTATTCAGATCTGAACCTTGCTTCTTGCTCAATTCCTGGGCCCATTTTGGCTTCTCATGAAGATCCCAACATGTTTCATGGGTGTGTCAAGGTTTCTGGCAATGGGTGCACTATAGTTTGTCTTTGTCTTCCACCCTTTTTTAAAGGTCCCCTTCTTAAAAAAAATTTCCCCCACCTATAGTAACATTCCCTTTTGTTGCCAACACAATTGCATCCCCTCCGGAGCTGTTCGTTAAATTTCTTCTACTTTCTTCTGACTGTATTAATGCATAAAACTCCTGGGCAGATGGAAGATCCTTATTGTCTAGGATCTGGACTCTGACGGATTCATACACTGGGTTTAAGCCATGGAGAAATGCAAACACTCTTTGTTGGGAAACAAGCTTCTTGTACGCTTTAGCATCTTCATCACACTTCCAGTCTACACTCTGATAGTGATCTAACTACTTTCAGACGGAGGTCAAATCTGAATAGTATGCAGAAAGGTTCCTCTCCCCCTATTTACAAGTGGATGATTCTGCCTGTAACTAATAGATTTTTGCATAGTGGTGCAGTTTAGAATAGGTCGATTTTGCCTGCTCCCAAATCTCATAAGCCATTTCAGCCCACATAAAGTTCCTTCTCACCTGAGGTTTCATTGACACCAAAAGCCAGGACAACCATGTTGTTTTCCTAGTTCCATCTGTCATACTCAGCACTCCCAGAATTCGGTTTTTTAATTCTCCCATTTATATACCCTATCTTTCCCCTTGCAGTAATGTATAACTTGATTCCCCTTGACCATTCTAAATAATTCAAGCCATCTAGGGGTATAACAGTCATAGGGAAGGATAAATCTATACCCCCACTTTCCGTTCTGCATTGAGGAGACTCCAGATGTGGCAGAGTCTTCACCACTCATAATCAAAACTTCAGGTTACACTCCAAGTGAACACAAAAAACCAAA